CCGCAACTCTTCGGACAGCCGCTTCGTTTCGTGCAATACGGTTTGCGATTGCTGCAGCATCTTCATCCACCCCCACAGCTTCTGGTTTTGGAACAGGATCGTCGTGTATTATACCCAGAAGTTTCAATAGTTCACGTGGATCACACCTTTCTCTCAGAGTGATTGCTAAATTGAATTGTCCTATCCAAGAATCCCAACTACAGGGTGGATCCGCTGTTGGTTTATGCCAGAATACGGGTACGCCTAACAGGTCAGTTCGATCCTCCGAGGTCGAAACTGCTGGCTGCGCCATGTGAATGCTTAAAGAACAGTTGTTAAAACAAGAATCAATTCTCCTTGTTTTATGTATAAATAATAATGTAAAGAATATAGATAGTTTCAGTTACGTAGATAATGTCATGACAAATCTTTTAAATACAACTTAAATCTTTCATAAGTTGAGACAGAATGAATGAGAGCACTTGATGATAAATCTAGAAAGGATTGGCAGGTCGGTCGCGACCTTGATAAACAAAAGGCGAGTTTAGCACGAATAACTAGCACACTAATGACGTCATAATAATCTAATAAACTACGCCACACCACAGTGGAACAAAAATATTGTCAAGTGATCCAGGCTCCTCAAACTTTACCGTCCCACCATCATCATCTGTTTTATTGTATAAAACTTTACTTTATTGTCAGCTCTGGATCGTATGCAGTTTTTAACAAACGATTATAAAATAATTTAGCCGGTGGTATTTGAAATCTGTTTCAAACTTTTTTGTCAACCAATCCGGAGGTCTAACCCGAAGCTTAACTATTTAGGTTGACAAGAGCGCATATGTATTCAGCGCTTATTAAACTATGACTTTTTTGCAAGAGCTCACCTAGCAAATTGCAGCGCACGTGCCAGTTAAACCAGCAATAATATGATTGCTGGGGAGTGCAGCCTGTATTTAGACAACTCGTCAGTATTTAGACAAATACTGTATGAACCAATCAGAATCGAGAAAAGACATAAATAATCCAAAATAAATAATACTTATTTATTGATTTCTTCTTTGTCTCGATTCTGATTGGTTCATACAGTATTTGTCTAAATACTGACGAGTCTGAATACGCGGTTGTCTAAATACAACTATGTAACCGATTGCTGGGCACCATCACTACTGGAGTAATAATATGTGAGCTGTGATAGGCGCTTAGCTACTAAATGATTACACTGCGCTCTTAAGGTTCTATTGCGCAACATCGGCAAAACAACACAGAACAAGGTTGAATATCGCAATTGTAGCCAATTTGCCAGGAAGCAATTAACCTCCAGGTAAACATTAGAGGGAGCTAACCTCAGTCAACATCATCTGTTCTGTTGTGTTTTTTGGGCGGGGAAGGGCTAGGTCTTTTTACCAGACCGACCTTTTACCAAACCACAAAGCAATAACTCAAATAGTTTAAATTAAAATTAGTCGAAATTTTGAAAAGGAAGTGGTTAGAACAAACAAAACTTTGTTGAAATCATTGTCTTTAACCAGACTAAACGGCGTCAATACATCTGTCAATCAAATTTGTTTATCGAGTTTTGTAAAAGGTCCATGGTGTCTTGGACAACAAGCCTACGGTACTTCACGCCGAAATTAAAACTTTACAAGCACCCCAAAACGCTATTTTATCATCTGCAAAATGTTGCTTTTCTAAAATTTTGGCAAGTTTAGTCCATAATAAGCGTTATTCATGACAATGCACCTTTTGTGATTCACATCCGTTAATAACATCAGCCGGTTTTTGAAATGCATAAATTATAAACATGAAAAATGCCTTCAACCATGTTTTACTTTTCAATTTTCCGGAACATCATTTGGAAGCTTAAATTATATGCAAACGCCAATAACTAGTGAAGAAAGATCATGAAATTCAGAAATTCTTCAAAAAAGTTTTCAAATTGTTCATATTTCACGACTTTATAAGGAATTATTCGGCTTGAAGTCCCTAATTTTACAATTCGGCTTGAAGTCCCGTCGGCTTGATGTCCGGCACCCGGTCCATGTTATAACTTTTCTGGTAAAAGGTCGGTCCCCCGGTGGGTATTCAGGAGTACCAAAACGCGAAAACAGTCGCGTTTGTACCAAAATAAAAAATCAGTCTCATTTGTACCAAAATGAAAAATCAGTCCCATTTGTACCAAAATAAAAAATCAGTCCCATTTGTACCAAAACTTAAAAACAGTTGCAACTTCACCAAATTCAATTATCAGTTAAAAGTATCATACAGTTTTGATTATATGAAATAAAATATTCAGTCCCAAGTTAAAGTTTTGATTAGTTTTGAAATTTTAGGATACTTTCACATACTTCCACACAAATCGGCCATTGTATACCAGTAATTTTTTATTTCGCGGTTGCCAAGTGTCAACGAATTTTTGAGAGCTTGGACACGTTCATTAAATAATCTCCCTTTTCTTGTCTGCTTTGGAGCGGGCTTTCCCATTTTTATAAGCTCCAGTTGATTCTCCACAATTTTTTCCTGTTGTTTCAAAAAACGAATAGCCAGCCACAAATTTGGAAAATGACGTTGAATTTTTCTATTCCAGATACTATTCCACCCCTCGCAAAAGTTGGTTGTTCGAAGACGTGCCGGCCTGTTTTGTACGTTCCACATTTTAGTAGGGAACGTTTGTATCCAAGTTTTGTGAAAGTATCTGAGAATTTTTTGCATCTCTGGGTATCGAGCAATTCTTTCAACTACCTCAGGCTCACTCAATAGTTCAACAAAAAGGGGTGCAATTTGATCTTCTGGTAGATATGCTGACGCCATTAACATTCTCACTATTTTTTTCAAGCCTGGGTCTTGACAATAGGATTTTCGGAGACCAACTTCCGATAAATTTCTGAAAATCGCCTGCGTGAAATGAAAATAGCACCCAAAATGCTCTGTTTCTGGAAAATCTGATTCGAGGGCCGAAATTATACCTCGTTCATAGTCTGTCACAATGACTGGGGGGACCCATCTATGACCAGTCAAGCGTTTGATTTTTTTGCCGACTATTTGAAAGAATTTTTGATATCGACAGGCTGATTTTCCACTTAAGGGTCCGAAAACTAACGGTAAACAACGATCTTCGTATATACCGTACAATACATAGAGCTGCTCGTAAGGTGGGGGGCTTGATTTGAATGTTCCGTCGCTCAAAAGTGCCTCCGAATTAAACAAAAGTGTCAAGTTTTCGTCCGAAGCGAATATTGTAACACCAGCATCAATATCATTGATGCTGGTGTTACATCTTGATGTTGGTGTAACATCAACACGCAGCAACTTTTTTCGCGTTCTGTAGAGGCTGGACTTTAGACTTTTGTACTCTGGCGCAACAGTCGTACTTGACTCCAATACGTTGTCATATATATTTCTTAACAGGTTTGTCGGGTCTTTTTTTGCTTTTTTCACCCTTTTTTGTCGAAAAACTTCCATGGATATTTCATTTCGCTCGTCATTGTGTGTGTGCATTCCCGGATATCTCGTAACTTTTTTGAAATCGGCTGTTAAAACCATTCGCACTTCGCAATTTGTCGAACGAAACAAAAAACATCGTAAATAAACAGCCTTGGAATTTTTTGAGTGGATCAAATAACGATAATTTTCATAAATAACAACTTTTCCCTTCTGAGTATTTATTAATTGTATTTGATTTTCCATATTATATTAAGATTATTTTGCTTATTATGTTTTCATCCAGCCGGAGATTAAATATTAATCGTTGAAACTGAATATGAACCGTTGAAACGGCCAAAATTCAATTTATTACCTAATTTTGCCTGAAATTATTTAATTATTACGTAATTATTCCTTATATTTCATCTTAAATGACCTCTGTTCCTATAATGTTACTTAATATAACCATGAAAATTTCAGCTGCTTCCGAGATTCGAACACCCGACTTAATGGTTTTAGAGCACATATTTTACCATTTGGCTATAGTCCGTTGAAAGATTCTGTATTTCGCGTTATCTTATTTTGGTACATATAGGACCGTTTATTTATTTTGGGACAAACGCGACTGATTTCTTATTTTGGTACAAATGACCGTTGGTACAAATGGGACGTCACCGGTCCCCCTTTTGGGGAGTGCAGCCAGTATTTAGACAGCCGCGTATTCATACTGGTCAGTATTTAGACAAATACTGTATGAACCAATCAGAATCGAGAAAAAACATAAATAATCCAAAATAAATAATAATTATTTATTATTTTTCTTCTTGGTCTCGATTCTGATTGGTTGAAACAGTATTTGTCTAAATACTGACCAGTATGAATACGCGGCTGTCTAAATACTGACATGTAACCCCCTTTTGGGGAGTGTTGGCAAATTAGCTGTCTGTGCTTCGACCGAAAGTTTAGTGGTTCGAGGGTGGGTATTCACGAGTACCAAAATGATAAATCAGTCCCATTTGTACCAAAATAAAAAATCAATCGCGTTAGTACCAAAAATATTCAATTGGCCTTAGACTATTAAGCCGACTACTTTAAGCTCTTGGTTTAAGGTCGCCGGTGGGCGCGCTACGCGCGCGTCGCCGCTTCGCGGCGATAACCGGCTCTAATTTTCGTATAGAGTCCTACCCTCTGTTGGCAAGCTCGCAACACGTTGGCGCGACTGTGGCGGTTACTATTCTGCTGTTTAGTTTTCTTCTGTTTGAACAGTAGGAAGTTAATGTAATAATTCGTTGGCTCACAATTCGACCAATCAGAAATCGAGTTGAATTATTTTGGTACAAATGGGACCGATTTTTCATTTTGGTACAAATGACCGTTGGTACAAATGGGAGGACGTCACCGGTTCGAGACCTTCCGTGATTGCTGCTCGCTGCTTGAACGTAAAGGAAAATGAAGAAAAATTATTTAAAAGTTCACGGCATTCTCAAGTAGGGGCACAGCAGCAGTTCTCTGCGAAGAGCTGCTATGTTATTCCTCTTCCTCGCGGTTAAGATAGTCAAGTCATGGTCTTAACAGAATTATATTTTTTTGTTCAGGAGGTGATGCTGATCAGGCGACAGTTTAAGTGCTGTGCGGGATGCTGTTGGTTCGCCGCCTGTTCCAGATGTACATACGAGGTCTGCATTGAAGCCCCACCCGGACAGGTGATTGCATACGTCACACAACAGTGCTCACCATGGCCGCCCAGGTAGAGATATTGTGAAAAAAAAGAATTACTTTTGAAAATTAATATTTACGCTTGAGATTTTCTAATTAGCAACAGTTGTCAAATTGGAATATAGACATTTTTTCCGGTTTAAACTCTTGTTTCACCGAATCACATTAAATCATTTGATTGGAGTGGGGAGCTTGGTTTATAATAAATTCGAATTTATCTTCTTTCCGGCACTTTCTGTCTAGAAATAAAAACTACGATAAAAGTCCTAGGTTCGAACCTGGCAAAGAACTTGCTCTTTTCAAACGGGAAAACTTCCGTTTAAAAAAATTGTCGGCCCTTTGTTTGTCTGTTTATATGTTGTCAGTTTAGTTGACATATCAAGGATTTTTCTTGCGCTGTTTGCAATGTTGACTAATGTAATCTGTAATTACACTACCAGCTTAGTATAATAGTACGACTTTTTTTTCTCCAGCCTAAGTCGAAATATTTGCGCCACTTTTACGGCTTTTTGACATTTGATTTATGATAAGTTAACACAGCTGATGCCTTTTTAATTCATCAAATGAACCGAAAAACGTTATTTATTTCAAATAGCAGTACAATGATAAAAAGCTCGATTTCAGAAATTTTCCAACTGAAAATGTCTTGCAATTTTAAAGGCATAATTTATACATAATTTGTCTTTATGCTTTCCAATTTGTTACTTGAAAAGTTAGTGTGGTTGTCTTCAGTTGTTATATTCGAAATTAATATATGCAACATTGAGACTTTGTAGTTGGTGCCACTTTTGCTGCATCGTATTGGCAATTTATTAGCATATCTAGCTGTTTTATTTGTGGCTAGTGTTAGTAAATTGTCATAGGGCCCGTGGTGCAGAAAAAATCTCCTGGTTGTAGGATCGATTCCGGCCCAGCAAAAAAAAGTTTTTTTTATGACTTACTCTATCTTTTCTTTTTCCTTTTAGAGCTGTTTTTTTGTCGTTTTCTTGCTAGTGTTTGCGAAACGAAGCTTCCTCTGTGTAAATTAACTACTTGCGATTTCACACAATTATTCTTTTGCAAGCTGGCACAGAGAACAAGAAAGCAAAAGTTCGAGAGAACAGTTTGAAAGACTGTTCGAGAGGCTTTGATTTCGGTTTCAAAACTGAGTTTAATTTCCATTAATCAGAGCAAACAATTTACCCATTGATTCATGTGTTTAACCCCATTGGATTAGTTTAAATTCATAGCAAAGACAGCCATAAAATCTATGGAGTTTGAAAGATATTCCACGAATTTTACCAAGTCAAACATATTTCAAACACGTGGTGAACTTATCAAAGATTTTGTTATGTTTCCAGATTTGTCATCCATTCCGCCAGCGAGGCTTCCATCGTCCAGTGTAACACAGAAGGACTGCTACTCACAGCAGCCGACAACAACAACGACACAAATAATCACGACACCAACTCCCCCAGTCCTGCCATTACGTCTCCCCCTTCCTCTCTCGTTCAAATGGGGGGCAGCACTCAATCTATTTCCTCCTTGACCTACACGAACAGCCACTACTGTAGAGCAAGGGAAGAGTTGTTTATCAAGGGGCCAATCTGTGTTTGTCAGGGGGCATGGTGTTGTGAACAAGACTTCATGGTCAGTGCTTACTAGAAATTTCGGAGTTTTCCGTTATAATTAATTTTTCGGCTTATGATTTTGCTTAGTCAACATATTTAGGCAACTGCTCAAAATTCTCCATCATGATGTTATGAAGAAAGATCTAGTTTTATGGCGAAGTGGTAAAATTATAGTCGCTATGGCTTGAACTCATGTCTTCGCATGTTTTATTTGGTTGATATTTTACTTCTAGTCTTCATTTGAGTTTGCATGGCAGAACTTTTGTTTATTTTCAGGTGTGATGGGCTCTCACTTCTATTGGTAGTTTGCTTCCCAAAAGAACACCAATTAATGCATGGCAAAGAATGCGTTTTCGCATGCTCTCTCACAAAGGTAGAAGTTAATTCTTACAAAATTTCCTGTAACCTTTTTAAACCCTTCTTCTCTCTCACAGACGAAATTTTTTACTAGCTGTAGTATTTGTAAATAAATTTTTTTTTCTTATAATAATCATTACTCAATCGAGCTTGCGAGATTAAGTGTATTAGTACGAACCTTCTTTTGTTTCTAACGTAACTCGCAAATAAAAGTGTTCACTTATTTGGTGGCACTTTTGCTATAATCACGATCTATAGCATTGGAAATTTCATAGAATTTGTTCTTTGCCTTATTTGTGGCTAGTGGTTGTTATTGATTTTGCGTATGTGGCTGAGTGATTAGCGCGTGAAACTCATAATCTCTAGGTCGTAGATCGAATCCGAGGTCCGAGGCGTAGCCGAATTTTTATTAGTTTGAGGCTTATTGCTACTTTTTCTTACTGGACATTATAGAACTGCTTTTTGTCGTGTTTTCGCTAACGTTTGCGAGGCGCAGCTTCTCTGTAATAAATTATTTTCAGACAGAAAATATACAAGAATTCAACAAAGTAAATTTAAAACTGCATAGGAGATCACCATTGCATCTACAGATTCGTTTTGTTTGTAGATCCGCATGCCAAAATACCGTACTGAATAATAAGTTGCGCTTAAATTTTGTTTATTTCAACAAGATCTAAGTTGACAAAATTATCTTTAACATAAAAAGATGCACAAATCTTAGCAAGTTTCTAATCTAACAAATCAATATGCTCTGTGAAGTTCAAATTTCCATCCAGGATGAAATCAAGGTAACGATTTTTTTGCGCCCAAATAATTGATTGTCGAAATTCATGTGCGAAACTTTTGATGGGCTTTTGTTGTTTTTTGGAAGTGTATTGTCTCTGTTTTATCTGTGCGTGCTGATTTAAAAAAGGTCGAATAACTGCTTTGAAGTGGCTTTTTTGTTCATATTAGATAGTAACAAAAAAGTTTTTGAATGAGTCCCGGTCGGACCTTATTTCTTAAAGAATATATGAAATTGAAATTTTTCCCGGGAAAAGTTGAAAAATGGTATTTTCGCTTGTCTGCTTATTTTTTATGTACCTAATTTTAAAGCATATACTTTTTTATGGAAACATCTTACTATTATTGAAAATGCTGTCTGGTTATTTCAAGTCATTATTGCACTGCAAGTGGCGCGAAGCTCCGCTTCGCCTGTGTATAATTGTTGATTTGTTTCTTAATTGGTGTGGAAAATCTAAATTATGTATCATGTGGGGAAGGGCGACAATTCGTTACAGGCGGCGATTCGTAACACGCGACAAATCGTAACAGGGCAAGTAGCGAACGCTTGCTCCGCTGAGCTTACATTCGGTACAATAGGAATAGTGCGCGTTTGCAGCTTATTCTATTGTTACGAATTGTCGCTTGTTATGAATCGGCGCCTCTTACCAATGGTTGCTTGTTATGAATTGTCGCCTGTTACGAATTGTCGCCTCACAATCTTGGGGGATATTTAAGAGTTATCTCTCGTTATAATATGACAGACACTTCCCTAAAGTTGTTATGTTCCTTTCTTAAAAGATAGATTTGCAACTTAGGTTATTTTTGCCCATGATAGTTGTTCTCAAGTCTCAAAATGAAGATTCTCACATCGCATCTGATTAGTTGAAATTAACGGAGTTGTTGAAGTCCGGATTCATTAATAATTATATGCTGTTTGAAACAAGTTGAGCTGTTTAAATTGAAAAAAAAATCCTATGTTTAATCTTTGAAGTTGATACTAGCTTTTATTATATATATAAACCGCCAAGCTCTCCCAACTCTAAGCGACCTACCTCGCCATAGCCTTATTAAGTGTTCATGAACGAAGTGATTATCGCTTATTTAGGTCGTGTTGTTTTGTTTGTTTGTTTTTTAAATGTTTTTATTTTACGATTTCAAATAGCATTAGCTATATCCGCTTTATCAATGTGATTTTATTGCCACTCGGTTCAAATTTGGTAGTTTCCAAAGCTGCTGTAAATTAATGTTGAATATCTTTCAAGTATTTTCGTTCATTTTTGGTAATTGTTCTTTTTTGGTAATTGTGCATACTATGGTGCTGCTTCAACTTATTAGTGTTTTTGAGTGCTGGAGGAGTTTATGTTGTCATCTCTGTTCGTGAAGGTTGTGGCATCGGACGGCAAGACTGAGATTGGGAAGATCTCGAAGCAGTTCTCGGGTCTGATCAAAGAGTACTTCACAGACGCCGACAACTTCGGAGTCCAGTTCCCACTTGATCTCAAGGTCACCATGAAGGCAGCTATGATAGGAGCCGTTTTCCTCATAGTGAGTTTATATCTTGCTCCATGTTTAGGCGTCTTTTCATACACACCTCCTTCTATCTGACTCCTACGCGTGGAGGTTATTTCATCAATGCTTGCCAATTTCACAGCAAAGCTTTTAATGCTGTCAATAAAAAGTTATCCAGTGTCAATAAACGAAGTGGAGACACTTTTTTGTGTCTTGACTTTTGGAGAAAGTCTTAAAAATTGTTCTCTTCACTCTCAAATTTGATTTTTCAATTTGAATTTTCAACGTTTCGTTTTTGAATTTTTGAAGTGCACTTGCAAAATGGAATGCAAGTTATGCTTCCTATTATTGAAAGTGCAAATGGCACGAAAAAGGTGAATGACTTCTACTTTCAAAAATGGATTTTATTTTCAGCGAAATAAAAAAATGCTTATTGCCCCAGTTTTCTCTAATTGAGTTAATTTTATGAAACAAGTGTCAATCATAAAAGAGTAAATTCGGAAGAAGTTCTAAGAACCATAACGTGCAGTGGCGGATCTAGGATTTTCTCGAGGGGGAGGGCGGATTTTCAAAAAAGTTTCGAAAATTTTGTCGACCTTTTTTTAGGTTGACCAAATTAATTTTCTCTCTATAAAGACCCCATTTTGACCAAATTTTCTGCGCCGCGGGTTTTTTAAGCAATTTTTTGAAAAGTTTGACCAAAAAAGCGCGTTTTTTAGCGTGCGCTCCCCTTCAAAATTATAATATATTGGCGCCTTAAGAAAATTTTCAGGGTCGGTCACCAAAAATGGATATCTCAAAATAATGCAAAGGGGGGGTACCCTTTGGGTCGGCAGGAGGTCGAAGTCCTGAGGCGGGGGGCGTCTGCCCCCCTTAAATCCGCTGGTGATATCGTGGTATATTTTGTTCATCGAAAATTGTAAGCTGAAAAATGTTCCATTAAGTCAAAAATGAAAATTGGTCAACAAATTTTTCCTTAAGTTCATTGACACTTTTCCCAATGTCTCCTGATTATGTTTATTCCATATGAGGTCAAATGGTAAGCATTAAAAACAATTTTTAGTGAAACTTAACTAATGGTCAAATAATACACCTATTGAAGTTCAGAGAATTATCAACATACACCAAGGATGGTCAAAAATTATAATTTCACTTCGAAGAATTCCTTTAACATTCTCATTTGACTCCATTTCTTATTAGATTTTGAAATTGTGATGTTGGCTGTGTTTAAGGACTTCATGTACTTTGAAAACGAGAGTAACAACCGGAACAGCTGATGGTTTCATAACAACCTAACTCCAATGTTCATTATCTACATCATCTACAAGGTTGGTTAGACTGCATGGCTATTTTATTCTTAGTCAATCACTAGTTTAAAGCGGAGAAGCAGGTTTCCTTTAATTTGCTGGACCATCAGATTTGGATTATCTTATTGGATTTTTTTCTGGTCGACTCTTTTTTTGTCTTTCTAATTGCAAATCATGTTCAGTCTTTATCAAGCATAAATAAATCGGAACGAAAACTTTTTTTCAACAATTTGCCCCACACTATCACTGAATCATTTTGTCAATTCTTTCAATTCTGTTATTTTGTCAACAACAGACATAGTTTGAGCATGTTGGTATTTTAAATATCCCTTTATTTGAAATTTGTTTTTTTTTGGCTATAACTTTGCCTATTCCAATTATTTATTTCTGTTTTTTTCCTATTTATTCGGCTTAAAACGTGTCTGCTTAAAACGTTTCGGATAATATAATATTGGCGTAGTGATCATGTATTGAGTAGTTTGATGGTCGAAAAAAAGTTTCTTATATGTGAGTGTGTGTATGTGCGTGTGCGTGTGTGTATGTGCGCGTGTGTGTGTGCGTGTGTATACTTCAATGGGTTGAATTTTTTCGGCTTATCAGGCATCTGCGCATGGTTTGTCGGCTCAGTTATATCTAAGTAAAGTTCGTTTTGATGCTAAATATGTAACGCTGGTACTTGTTTAAGTGTAAAAAAGTTTTAAGTGTAATTAAAGTTTTTTTCACTTATAAGTGTCTTGATGTTTTATCCAGAAAAAAATTCTTTAATTTGTTTACACTCAAACTTGGTTTTTAGCGCGTGACTTGTTTTCTTTTTAAGTTCAGTTTATTTCCTTTGTTATGAGGAAGGCGAACTTCACTATCGAACAGCAAAAATGAAAAGTTCACGAAAAACGTGACTGTCTTCTGGTTTCAAAATTGGACGTTAATTTCCTGAATTCTCTGCGGAATAAAAAAATTTACATATTAATCCAGTTTCATTTTAGTGCGGGAACCTTGGACGAAAAAAGTGCCAATCATGAACAGTTTTGAAATTCGAAAATTGAGAAAAATGTTCAAAAATTAACTGTTTGTTTTTTTTTATTCCTTGCTCTTTTACCGGACAGGTTTTTCTATAATTGAACTTCATTAAAAACAAATCGAGACAACTGAATTAATGTTTTTGGTAAAGCCAGTTTTTGTTGACATTTTTTATACTACAATTTTTAGGCCTACCGGCTCTGGCATTTTCTATCGCCCAGCTTGTCATGCTATGTTTGCGTTGTATCACATGTGTATCGAAGCTGCGCTTCGGCTTCGCGTTGGAAAAATTTTTGTTATGTCACTGCTGTTTTGATGTATCATTTTTTGGCATTTTATTTTTTGAAATGATCTTATTTTTCGGGAAAGTTTGCATCAGGTTGAAGTTGTTTAGACTTATTTATAATTTAAGCAATTTGGATATTGATTTGTGAGGCCCGTTTTTTACCGACTTGAAGCACATTACACTTTCGAATAACAAACGTTAAATGGCAATATAATGGACCCAGGCTTTCAGTTAAGAAAGCGGATTTTAGTTTCACGATTTTCTTCTTAAAAGCTCCTCAGTAGTCAAGTAATCCTCAGTAGTTTTGTCAAATAATGTTAGTTTATCAAAAGCGTCAATCATGAAAGGGTATTAAAATCAACGATTTTTATGCTGCAACACAAATACAGTCGCAAGAAAAGAGTATTATTCTAGTTTTTTTGTCTTTAATGTTCCTTCAGGAATTCGTTTTATGAGAATCTGATATTGTTTTTTTTTTGGTGTGCTTCAATGGGAAAGAAATGATTGTTTTATGGCCACGAGTTGCAATTTAAAAAAAATGATAATAATATTTCATGCGCTGTATGTTTCAGTTGGTCTGATTGACATAATTTGACCATTTCCGTCTCCAAGTGACCACCTCAACTTTATCCAATACGAAGAATTCCAAAACAATGTCCACACAGAAAGTTCCCTGAATCGAACTACGAGTCACAAATGCACAAACTGAGTTTCTATTCTTGAATTGATTTGTGCTATTGTAAACAAGATAATTAATTTCCAATTGAAGTGTATTTAAAGAGTTTGGTTGTTTGCAGTTCTTGATCTGTGAGAGGGTTTTTGAGGGCACTTTTGATAGAATTTTTGGAGACATTCAAAATATAGTAAATCTTCATGCTACAGTATTTTTACGGTAACTTCCTAATTGTCATAAAAATGAAACTATTCCCAAATGGCATAAATTTCAAGTTTTTCTTGTAATTCAAACGTTTTCTATCAATTTCTAATTCCAAAAATTCGTCTGGAACGAATAAATCTGACAAGATTTTGAATTAATTGCTTCCAAACATGTTGAGCGACAATTTTTTCGGAAAAATTTAACAAGAAGCTTATTACACCGAAGACTTTAGTCAAGGTGTTATGGTATCGTGTAACGGGGTTTTTTTTACACCGAAGACTTAAGTCAAGGTGTTATGGTATCGTGTAACGGGTTTTTTTTTTAATGTTGTCTGTTGTCAAGTGTCGACAAATAACGTCCACAGTTATCAATTATCATGTGGGCTGGACTATATCGCGCTATGTCACGTGATTGCGTATGTTTGTTTCTTTATTTGTTCATCTTTATTTATTTAATTATCTGTTCTTCTATTTATTTAATTATGTTTAGTTTGCTTATATTTATTTATAATTTATGTATGTACATATTTATTTTTGTTTATTTTTATCACGTGTTTTGTTTATTTATTTAATTATTCTTTCTTTCATTTAGTTTTGCTTTTATTATTTCTGCGTGTGTATTTATTTAATTTATTTATTTTCATTTATTTATATTATGGGTCTGTTTGTTTGGTTATTTGTTCATATATATTTTTTCATGTCTATTTAATTATTTGTACATTTCACTTTTGCTTTTATTTATTTATTTATTTATTTATTTATTTATGTATTTATTTATTTATTTACTTATTTATTTATTTATGTATTGATTTGTTTTTTTATTGCTTATTTATTTATCAGGTGTGTTTTGTTTATTTGTTGATATTTATTTCTATATTTATTTAATTATTCTTTCTTTCATTTAGTTTTGCTTTTATTATTTATGTATGTGTATTTATTTCATTTATTTATTTTCATTTATTCATATCATGGGTCTGTTTGTTTAGTTATTTGTTCATATATATTTTTTCATGTCTATTTAATTATTTGTACATTTCACTTTTGCTTTTATTTATTTATATATTTATTTATTTATGTATTCATTTATGTATTTATTTATTTATTTATGTATTGATTTATTTTTTTATTGCTTATTTATTTATCAGGTGTGTTTTGTTTGTTTGTTGATATTTATTTCTATATTTATTTAATTATTCTTTCTTTCATTTAGTTTTGCTTTTATTATTTATGTATGTGTATTTATTTAATTCATTTACTTTCATTTATTTATATTATGGGTCTGTTTGTTTGGCTGTTTGTTTTAGTTCTAGAACTGTTATTTCAGGCTCTTTCTCGATATAGCAAAATTTTGGTGTATACATGTATTAGTACGATTTTTTGTTCAAGAACTGTTATTCTTCAATT